GTTAACCTGTTCCAGTGATCAACCACCATCATATTCAATAACTTTTTCTTTAATGTCTAACCTAAATTTACCCTTTTCCAACTTAAAACCATTACTCCTTGTCCTGCCTTGTCATGGCACTGAGGAGGAATGTGGAGCAGGGTAAGGGGCAGCCCCATTCTTCCCATTCTTTCACTGTCTGCTCCTAACAGAAGGTACCAAGGAAGTCCTCAATATTTGTGCAACTGATAATATCTGACTAAGATGTTAGGAAAAAGTTCTTCAGTAGGAGGGTGATAGACCCTGGAATAGGTTGCCCAGAGAGGTGGTGGAGGCTCCATCCCTGGGGACATTCAAGATCAGGCTGGATGAGGCTCTGAGCATCTTGATCTAGTTGGAGATGTCCCTCTTATGGCAGGGGGGGGGGGGTTGGGGGGGTCCCTTCCAGCCCAGACAGTCTATGATTCTATGACCACAGTCCCACCCCTGCCCTTTGCACAATTGTAGGTAGGAAGAGAATTTGACCCCAAACCTTAGGGAGAGATCCGTGGGTTTGTCCTGCTTGCCATGCCCAGCAGGGATGCCTTTTGGCAGGATTTGTGGCCTTGGCTACAAGTGCTTCCCAACAGAGATGAAGCTTGTGAGTGCAATCATATTTTAGAGCTGTACAGCCAGTCTGCAGCCTAGTGCATTGATCCCTGGCAGCCCTAAAGAATCTGTGCACGCTGTGTGGGAATAAAATGCAACTTGTGCATCCAACTGCTGCTTTTGAATACGTTCTTTAAAGTTACCTGGAAATATGAGGTAAGACACAACAGGCTCCCCATTTGCTTCACATATTCTTTCTCTCAGAGGAAACAGTTACAAATAAATAATGACAACCTGAGAATTTTAAGTTTCTCCTGTCATCATTTAAGCCTCAAACAGTACCACCAACTCTCCAGCCACACACCCCACTGATTTTTAACGTTCTATATCACATCAAGTTTGGAGAAAAAGTACTAAATGAGTTTAATTTTTTTTTTTAAGCATGTCTTGTGTTTATGTTCAATATAATGTTGTGCATAGCCAGTGTTTTTTTTGCCATGTTAACGCCTTTGTTTGGGCTGTTTAGGACTAACTGCAAACAGAGGGCAGCAGAGAAGCTGCCTGGCAGCAGGAGAAGTGTTGGTTCACCACAGCTGGTGAGATCACCCACTGACCTCCAAAAGCCCTGAAAAAAACTTACAGCCCTTTGGATTGAAATGAAAATAAGTGTTTAAAAAATGAATGTGAAGTTATCAGTATCAGGTTTTGATGCTGAGTAAGCTCCTCAATGTCAGGCTATGATGTTGAGGAGCTATGTTTGAGGCTGTGGTCTAGTGGATAGGGGAATGTTGGGATGAAGGTTGGACTTGATCCTAGAGGTCCTTTCCAACCATAGTGGTTCTGTGATGTTCTTCTAACAGACTCACAGGCAGGAATGTGGGGTTCTTATGGAATGTTTACGTTCCACATCAGTTTCCTGTCACAGAGCAGCTCCTGACAGAATGCAGCCCAATTCCAGTTTGACAGACAAGGTGATTTCCATCTTGCTGAGCCCCAGCGACCTCAGGACTCGGTACGAAACAGGGCAACAAAAACTTATCAAAGGCAGTGAGGTTTTTTATTATGAAGCATTATCTTTTCAAAGCAAGAAAACAGATGGCCCCAAAGACAGCTGTGACAGACCCCAACACAATTCCCATTCCACAGGGATGCCCTGTCCCCTGCCAGCAGCGCTGAATTTGCCAAACAAAGTTCCTGTTGAGGCAATAAAGCTCTGGCTGAGTGTGCACAAAGGCAGGCTGGGAGCTGGGCTGTATCCTGTGTCATCTGGAGGAGTGCAGAAGTGTGAGGGAGCACAGAGCAGGCGGCAGCTCCTCCCAGGGGGGCAGGCTCAAGCCCTGCTGCATCTCCATGCAGGAGAGATTGGGGCACGGGCTTGGAAATGTGTTCTGCTGCTTTGGCCATTGTAGTTTTTCACTCCTGGATGGAGGTTGTAGGGAGGTGGGTGTTGGTCTCCTGAGTAACTAGTGATAGGATGAGAGGAAATGGGCTTATGTTGTGCCAGGGGAGGTTTAGATTGGGTATAAGGAAAATGTTCTTTCCTGCCAGAGTGGCGAGGCGTTGGAACAGGCTGCCCAGGGAGGTGGCACTGCCCGGTGCCTCGGTGCTCCCAGTGCTGCTCTGCTGCTCCTGTCCCTCCTGAGCTTGCTGCACCAGGCGTTGTGTGGCTACAGGAATGCTCAGATCCTGCTAGTGGTGGGCGGTACCTTCTGCCGGCCCCCCTCAGATGTGGGAGGAGTAGATGCTGGTACCTGCTAAGTAAGAGAGGTTGTCCCAGGAGTTCCTAGAGCTGCCCAGCCCAGCTGCCCAGCAGTGGGAGCTCCTGGGGACGTGGTTTGGGAGGCAGCCGTGGTGCAGACACTGACTGACACACTGTCCACGTTCTAACGTCTTGAATATTCCTTTGGTGTGACTGCAGGAGCCAGAGGCCAGGCTCACAGCACAGCAGAAATGTGTGACCTGGCACACACGGGTGTTCAAGCTCTTGAGCTTTACTGAGTCGAGGTTGGATGTCCACTCTCTGGTAACTAAGAGATGGAAAGTAAGCCTCAAATGGAAAATTGCTGCTAAATAAACTGTGTTTAGTTAATTACCTATAATGCTGCCAAGAGGTAGTCATAACCTAGGCACGTGGGTGAAGGTGGGGAATAGCCTAAAAGCCACTGTTGGACAAAAGATACCAAGCCCAGGTTTGTGAGCACGTGCAAAACCACTGCTCCTCTGGGTGCTGTGGTCTTCTCACGGGTGAGACCTCTCCTCCAGCCTCCCCTTGGCAAATGAGATGAACATCAGATGGAGCAAAACCCAAATGATTCCCCAACAGCAGTTTTAGTTAAGCTTGGAAGTCATTTTAGTTGGCAGCTTGCTTACAGAGCTTGAGATTAAAATCCTTCTCGATTGTATTTTTAGCTAATTCTGAAGTTTATAAATTAGCATAGCATCTTACTTAATATTTTTAGAGAAATGAATGAAAAAATTGCAGAAGATCAGGTCTTCAAAATCATAGTGAAAATGTTTTTGCTTTTATTTTATTTAATGCTTAGTATCTGGGAAAATACAATAAATAATTTTTCAGTTTAGAACAATGAGACGTTATGCTTAATAATAAAATGCTCAAAGAGGATGTAAAAATAAATCTCTTACTATTTAACTTCAATGACAAAGCAGGTCTCAGCTGCAGATAACTGAGAAATTTTTAGCCATGAAAGATAGATGAACATCTCCTGCCCTTCTGTAAACATGCAGCTATCATTGAAACCCATGAAAGATATATACACACATAGAGATGTGCCTGCATCAGAGGGCAGAATCTGGCCTAGATCTTACAAAATGGGAGTTAGCAGTTGACATTCATGTTTATTTTTGAAATGACAAGGAGTGCAGAACATTCATGTATCATACATTTCCCAAATCCTGCAACTTATATGAAACATGAGCTTATAAAAAGTCATCACTGTACAACCACTTTTTTTTTTTAAAAGTCAGTGTCAAAAACATAAAAAACAGCTAATTTATTAAAACCACAGAGATTAAGTGCTGAGGTTTGCATTAGCATTCTTCTGTTTTAAGCACAAGAATCTATTAAAACATAAAAGGCAAAAGTGGCTCAGAAAATGACAGACTCTAACAACACACTTGTAGCTGTGCTAACACTTACTCGACACTAATAATTAAGTGTAAAAGGATGTAAACACACTGAGGTACAGATACCGAGGGGTGTTTCTCACAGCTGTGCCAGCTGTGGGCCTCATCCTGGCTCCAGAGCCCCCTCCCAGGGCTCCTGAGACCCTTATGTCACGCACCAAAGGCACGTGAAGGGCCTCAGATTTCAGGCTGATGTAAACCCACGTGCCATTTCTTCAGGTTTGAAAAGGTGAAATAGCTTCTGAAAAGTCTTATATAAATGCTTCCTTTAAAACTACTAGAGGTTTTCTATTTCAAGGTACATCTAATAAAATAGGGAACTGCTTTTCAATTAGGCAAATAGTGGTTGTGCTGCTTTTTGGAAAAAAAGGCAACAATATTCCTTTGCTGTAGGAGACTTTCTACATCTCCAGTCACTCTTCCCTTTATTTTACAGGAAGTAAGAGGCAGAGCTATTGTAATTTTGTTGGAGTGATCACCCGTGGGGTTCTGAAACAGCCCTATGGATATTTTTGTGATGAGGCTGAATGTTAAGTTCATCCCTTTTCATGACTCTTTCCTCCAGTTTGCTTTATTCTGCTTCTTCGCTCTTCTCAGAACCACCCCCAGCTGAATTATCTGCCTCATCCTTTTTATCAAGAGCATCTTCAAAGGCCTTCCCACCGCAGCACTCGGAGGTTTTACTGGTAGCTCCCGTGTGCGTTCGGATGCGGGCTCCTGGCTGGTACAGCTGCATGGCTGGGCGGTCCTGGAGGGAAGGAGACCTGGTGGTTAACGTGCTGAGGGACCCTGCCTGAGATGCCCACGTGGGATTTTAAAGTGATGAATGTTGTGAAGAAAGTAGATTTTGTGTTAAATCACTTTACATTTCGTAAGACCCAGGGGAAAAAAAAAAAGAGTGTAATGAAAATGAACTAATTATATTTAATATCTGTCTTGTGTGTAACACTATTCTTGGGAGCCCAGCATTTTGAATAAGTGAGGAAAGCTGTGAAAATTAAAGATCCTATGACATATTTGATGTAAACAAGGAGAAATACTGCAGGCAGTTAAGAGTATTTTAGTCTCACAAATACTGGGTTTTAATGTTATAAAGCAACCCGTTCACCAAAACCTGAGTTTTTTGACCAAAGTCTTGTGTTACGTTTAGGAAACAAAACTAAACAGCCTGTTTTAAGACAGTGGCAGAGCACTAAAATTGCCCTACATCAAACCATATGAATTTTCAATTGCCTTCATAATTTGAAGTCATTCTGGTCTCTTGTTCTTTTATTCTTTTTTTCTTTATACCCAATATGCATTTTCTCCTTTCCTTTCTTTTTCCTACACCTTTGTCTTTTCTTCACCATCACTTTAGCCCAGATATGAGGCTGCCTTGTTGGGTCATACAACTAATCATTCTAGTTAGTGCTGTGTAGTGTGGCAGGAAATGTTAACACATGTCTTTCTACATCACAAACAGCTGCATAAAACTAGATCCTCTGATAAGCAAGAAGTGACCATTGGAAAGTTTATTATTAAGGATCCAAATGATTGTTCCAATCACAGACTCTGTACCTCACAGACAGAATGCATGAAACTTTTCTTCACCATCACTTTAGCCCAGATATGAGGCTGCCTTGTTGGGTCATACAACTAATCATTCTAGTTAGTGCTGTGTAGTGTGGCAGGAAATGTTAACACATGTCTTTCTACATCACAAACAGCTGCATAAAACTAGATCCTCTGATAAGCAAGAAGTGACCATTGGAAAGTTTATTATTAAGGATCCAAATGATTGTTCTATCACAGACTCTGTACCTCAGACAGAGTGCATGAAAGCTAGGACAACTGGTACTGACACTGGAAATTTCCCATTTTCTAATGAACTCTTACAAACTTCAGAAAGAAGCCTGATCTCTGCCTAAAAACCCTTCTTGGCATTGTTAATTCTATAGGTAAGTTGGAAAATTCATGTACACAGTTAATACTCAAAGAAAAAAAGTTACCATGCTGCAAAAAGTTTACTGATATTAGTTGTTTTGTTTAGGGAACAAATCTAACCCATGAAATATGGGCTGAAGTCCAGAATCTCAGTGAGCTATCAGAAGAGTGATGAGAAGAAATAAATAGGGGGCATCTTCTCTAGGCTTGACAAAAGGTCCCAAAGGCTCACCATCTAGGTTCAAGGTTGCAGATTATTTCACCAGATTTCAAGAGCAGTGTGGCAAGCATGAGAAAAATTCTTTTTTCCCATTTTCCTGTTTCTGAACTAGCCCCTTCTCTGACTGAACATGCACATAAACCTCACCCACACTGCCCAGCTGACCTTCACATAAAGTGGGGCACGCCTGGCTTTCTGTGCTTGCCCAAGGTGACTTACCTGACACACACAGCCAGTCCACCTGCACCTGCTCTGTGCACACCCTGCACAGACTCACTCTGCACGTGAGCAGCTCCCTCCTGGTCAGCCCACATCTCTGCAGAATAAATTACTACACAAAACATTGTTTTGGACACCTTTTGTGGAAAAAACAAGGTTCAGAAGGGAGAGAACATGAGGGTGATATGGAGAGTCTTCTAAAAAGACCCTGGCACATCCATGAAATCAGGCAGTGTGAAAAATGATGCCCGTGTCTGTGGGAGACACTAAGGCACAGCTCTACTGCACACCCTGCCTGCAGGACCCACCTGCCCTGGTTCTGCACAACGACCACGAGGATAATTTGTCCTAGCCCAACAACAGCCCTTCTGTACCCGCTGGTACACAACGTGGAAGAACCGAGGATAATTTGTCCTAGCCCAACAACAGCCCAGCCCTACCCGCTGGTACACAACGTGGAAGAACTGGCACACTCACACCCTCCAAATACAACAGTCTCAGAATTAGCTGTGCATTTAATGTCCTTGCAGTTCCTTTACTGAGCAATGCCTGGCCAACCCATCATATAATTTCCTTCTGAGCTGGGTAAGAAGCACATTTTTAAGAAGATTATCATCCCACAGTTTTTAACTTCCATTAGAGATCAGAAGTGTAACATTTTTTTATACACTTCTAAAATACAAGGCTTCCAAGAATAGTGTTCTAAATATGCTGGGGCTGGAAGGAAGACAGAAAGTCTTCTGTATACTGTATATATGAATGAGCAGAGACCTGCAACCTTAAGTCATTTTAACTGCTGTTGCCCTCTGATAACAATAGAAAGAAGTCTGGGGTTGACCACAAATGAACTAAAGAATTGTGCTTTTTTTTTTTTTTTTGAAAAAGCATCTTTATGCTGAGTTTGCAAAAGTAAAACCTGTGATCTTGAAGCATATTTAACTAATGAAAGATTATCCTAAATGAATAAAAGAACCTTATTTCTTATGCGCTCCTTTTTGGATGCCATGTCATCACACTTGTCCTCTTTACCCAGTTTGTCTACTGCCTCCACAGTGAAGCTGTAGTTGTAGTTCCCTTTCTTTCCTCTGTCTTGGTTGTATCCTTTCCCCCACTTCAGCTCTTCTTCATTCCTTCTCACAAACTTGTCAAACTCATAGTGAGCTCTATGCTTTCTGCCATCATCCAATCGGTACCTTTGTCTTTCAGGTTCTTTTTCTCGAAATCTTCTCTCCAAATCTCTTTGCTCTTTGTCACTATCATTTTGTGACCTACAGGTATGTATAAAAAGAAAGAAAATCCAAGCAATGAAGAGTAAAAGCCCAAGCTGCTCAGGATGTGATACCAAGCCTTCCTTTGACTTCAACAGTATTTAGATTAATTGCATGGCAAGGCTGCTCTCCTCTCATTAAAAGGGGGCTATGCAATTTTGCTGCATGTCTCATCCATGCACGTCTGGCTCTGGACTATGCATTCAATTCAAACAAGCAGAGAAAGCTTCACAAGCAAGACAGGACTTCAGTGCAGCTGTTGTGGAAGGCCCATTCCACAGCTTTTATCCCTCTCTGCATTCCCACAGATAGTTCCCCAAGACTCTTCACACAAACACATGCTGTGTGATTAGCTCTTGTGGCCTGCTCTTGGAGTGACTCACGTGTGTGAGTATTCCCTTGAATGGGAACATTCAGGGCCTGAAGGAATTGTGCAGGTACCATGCATCAATTTATAAAGTTTAATGACTCTGGTTAACAAAAATGGTTTGCTGACGTTGCACCTTGCAGAAGGCATTTGTGAAAATGAATAGTTATCTTCCAGGCTTTTGTTTGTTATGTCTCCAAGTAATTTAGCCTACCTTTGCATATTTTATTTAGGTGAAAGACCATGTGACCTTACCACAACATAGTACTTAGTATCTGCCATGCTGCAATGGGTTTATATTACAAAGACTATTAGTTTGCAACATTTTGCTGCCTATCTGATAAAATTCTCAGCTCTTAGTTCACTTCATTGTTCCTGTTCAGCAAACGGGTGCCTCTCTCACACAGCCAAACTGCAAATAATGAAGAAAGATTACACAATAGATTGAACTTTAAAAGAAACAAATACAAGCAGTTTCTTTTTAGGTATTACATATGTATAAAAACTTAAAATTGAAACAGTAAAGTTGCTTTTGACAGTCTGCTCACATTTTGGGAATCAGCAGAGAGAATCAGGGAGGACAGAGATTTTCTAATGATGCAGTGATCAAATAGTGATATGCTTCTCATTTAGCATGGTTTAACATCAATAAAAGTGTATCTTTCTATAGAACTTTTTTTTTTTTTAAAATTAAATAACAAAACTGTGAAATTTATCAGCCTCTGCCATGAACTTGGGCATTGGTGGGGCTGCCAAGACAAGGCCCCCATCTCAAGATGAGCTGCAGGTCAGCAACAACCCCTGAGTAACAGGTAAAGTTATTCAGCACTTCACAAGGCTGACTGTGTCAGCATAAACCATCCACCAAGTAGAAGCCATGTCCCAGTGGTCACAGGCAACCAGATCAATCATTAATTACAGAGCTACTGTACCTGTAGCACAGAGAAATATATATATAAGTAGCATATAAAATGCTCTCAAGGGGTATGTGGCTATCAGTGATCTTGATCCTGCTGCAATAGCTCATAGCTTGTGCCTAATCACACCCACCACCACTCATGATGAAATGAGGGCTTGGGAAGATGAGGTAACACTTACTGTTCCCCCACAGCCAAAAGGATTCTGTGTAACACCTGGCAAATCTACATTAGTGCCTTGTTACATTTACAGGAGCAATAGTAGAAATGCTGTATGGCACCACCAAAATCTTGATACATAAAATGCCTTATTAGCAAACAACGGACTTGCCCCTGCATGTGCTTCTGTTGAGCCTGTTGCATGTCCTGTGTTGAAGAACATTACTGAAAGACTTGCTGACTATTTTCATTTTCCATTAGAGAATAGGAAGCTGAAGTTTTCAGCAACATTCAGGACATACTGAACATATTGAAACACTGAGACTGTGTTTGAAGTCCTCAGTCAGAGAAATAATAAAAGATGAATAATGCATGTGGGATATTATTGGTGAACCATTTCTTCAATTAGCAAATTCAATGGTTTTGTTTTCCTGTGTTCAAAGTTTATTTATTTTTCTGTTTGGCATTAGGAGAACATTTGAAGCTCCTGCATACTTTTCACAAAAATCCAGGACCCATGTGGACAAAGGTAAAAGTTAAACTACTCAGCATGGGCAGGTAGGCTGTGAACCTCCCAGAGCACAATCCCAAATTTCTGCTAATACTTTCTGTGTAATACTTCAGGTAACTTAGTTAAATGCTCAAGCTTGTCCTTATGTACTGCAAAGTACTTTTGAGAGCTTAGCTGAAAAACCCTGCTGAAGAACAGAAGAACCCTTATTTATCTCAGCAGCACGTTATCCTTAGTTGTGTATCTTACCTATCTTCTGGGTGAATCCTGCTTGTGATGGGACACATGTGCCAAAGGACAAGAGAGAGAACCACCTGCTGGAAACGTTTCTAAGACATTGTCAGGCTGCAGCAGTAACAGAACTGAGCTGTACCTGTTTTTCCTGCTATTACACATGCAGCACAAAAGGCAGTGGGAGACAGAGACAGCTTTCTGCATCTACCTGCCATAAGGCTGTCATTCACACCATAGCTTTTCTGCCTTTGCCCCATTTATCAAACAGATTTCTATGTTTATTGCAGGAAAACCAAGCCTGAAGGGAAAGGAATCATGGCCAATTTAGTCTCTGATGCTGGTAAGGAAGGGGAGCCTTACCTGAGCTCTTGATGGGGAACAGGTGAAATAATAATAAAACTCTGAATTACTTTTCACACAGAAATCCTCCCAATCTGAGATTTCAAAACATTTCACAACTAACAAGCTGCATCCACTACTTCTGCCATTGGGTCAGTAAGCTGTTACTCAACAGCTTTCCCAAAAGGACAGTGAGAGGTTTGTTCACACACAGAATTAAATCAGCCCTTTGCTGGCAAAACACCCAGTCAGTGCCCTGCTTGTATCATGCTAAAGCCTTGAGATGAAAGCATGGAGGCTATAAAGAGAAACCTAAAAGAGAAATATTACTTACTTTTCCTTAAATTCTTTTAGTGAACCCTCCAAAGATCTGGATTTTATACTCCCAGATCCAGGTGATTTATCCCATTTGTTTTCCTCAGTGTCATCTTCTTCACCTTTTTCCTTGTGCTTTTCACTGGCCAGTTCATCTCCTTTTTCAGGCTTCTTGAGAAGCTAAGAGATATTTGTTTATATTATGATGTAAAATTATTCTCCTCTGTTGTAACAGATATTTTAACAATGTATTAAGTATATCAGTAACCCAGTAAGATTGAAGATATCTGATTTAAATGCTAGGAAAGTGTTTTACAAGTTATGAAATTTAAAGTTATTTTAAAAGGTCAGTTTACTTTTGCATTCAGCTTCACACTTTTACATCTGCTGAGAATATTGGAGAAAGCACTTACCTACTCTTCTCTCCTGAGTTTTAGATGTAAAGACATTATTATGGTCTACAATTTCTTAGAAACCATGTAACAGAGCTCTGTGTTATTGCCAAGAAAATGAGCAGAGCCTCTACAATACTACAAAGAGAGCAGGACAAACACTTCACACCTTGGCATATATAAAATGTGTGCCACATAAACTACTTGGGATAGACCAGCACACAGAAGCAAGTGCTTAGTATAAATACACCCTGACAGAAATGCAGACCGAGGGAAAAATGATGATATTAGCAGAAAAGATCACATTAGATTTTCACCTTGGAGATTAAGATTTTCAGGAAGTCTGTTCCTCTCAACAAATAACCCAGACAGGGCTTGAGCAGTGTCTAGCATTACAGGAATAATCGTTGTAGAAGGACCAACTGTGTCCAACTATTTCTCTTAACATTTCAGGAATGAATAGAACATCTCATCAGTCTTTTCATTCCACCTGATATGAGCACAAGTTATTCTCCTCCAGTATTTAAAAATTCTACAGCGTTTCTCTTAGGTAATATTTTCCTTTCCACATCACCACAGACATGTTGTAGATACTGGGATTTTCTTGATGGCCAGTTTTGAGTAATACATTTTAAGGAGCAAGTTTCTTTTCTCCTGGACTTCTAGAGTATTTTTCTTTATGCCCAGATATGAAAAATGTGTAATTTGGCTTCAGAACTTACTATTTTTATACATCCAGATGAAGGAAAATGTTGTCCAAGAAGAGAAGAGGGAAGAAATACACAGTTCTGTGGCTTCTCCCCACCACAAGATCTGGAGTGAGTTTGTGTCCCCTTGCATTAACCTACAGACTCTTATACTAATTTTCCTCTTCAAACAGCCTACAAAGCCTTTCCAACACCACAAGACTTCATCCAGACCAACTATGTCATCTTATAAAAATAAGGTTTTAAATGCCAAGATTTAATAGCACCAAATACACCCATTTGTAGTTATTAATGAAGTCATTAAAAGCACATCTATTCAGATCATTATAAGGCAGTGCAGCCTGAAATTAGCAGGACTTTTAACTTGTTTAAAGCACACTATGGATATGTATCAATTCTGAGCATAAACACAAAAAACTCTCCATACATATGGCTGGAGGAGGATTTACATGGGAAAAAAAAGTATTAAAGCTGTATTTCCAATCATCTTCTGGCCTGTGGGCACAGAGCAGTTTGGTTGTGTCAGTTTATGCTGGCTGAGAGTGCAGCAGCATTGTAGGGAGATACCAGAGTTACCTGCTGGAACTGCACCAGGCACTGCTGTAGCTCTGGTGAGCAGTCACACCTTCAAACAGAGCTACTTTGCCAAAGCCCCACATCAAAAAAAGCCCCTCGAGGGCTGGAGCACCTCTCCTGTGAAGACAGGCTGAGAGAGCTGGGGCTAATCAGCTTGGAGAAGAGGAGGCTGCAGGGGGACATTATAGTGGCCTTCCAATACCTGAAGGGGGCAGAAAAGAAAGCCCAGATCTCTGTTCTCAAGGGTTTGGAGTGACAGGACAAGGGGTAATGGTTTTAAGCTAGAAAAGAGTAGGTTGAGTTCAGACATTAGGAGGAAGTTCTTTACTATGAGGGTGGTGAAACACAGGAACTGTTTTTCCTGCCCAGAGAGGTGGTGGAGGTCCCATCCCTGGAGACAGTCAAGGTCAGGCTTGACAGGGCCCTGAGCAACCACACCCAGTTGGAGATGTCCCTCCTTATTGTAGGGGGGTTGGACTAGATGTCTCTTAGAGGTCCCTTCCAACCCAGTACATTCTATAATTCTATGATTAGTTTCCCTTCCAGTCAAAACTCGTTTGGTATCTCCACACTGTACTGCACTAAATAAACGGTGAGATACCAAAGGAACTTCTGGGTTACCTCAACAGAAGAACAATCTTTTTTCACCCAGGTACCTTGATCCTTATTTCTTTTTCAGAAATTTTCTTTTGCTTCTCCACTTCTTTCCTTCTACGTCTCTCCTCTTCTCTGCGCTTCCTTTTCTCCTCCTCCCGCAGACGTTTCTTCTCCATTTCCCTCCGCCTCCGTTCTTCTCTCTTCTCTTCTCGTAGTCTCTGAAGAGTTCAAAACCATTAGTTGTAAACTGTCCAACAGAAAACCACGTGAAACATAAAGGTGGAACTTCAGGCAAAGGTCTGGACGTACCTGCTTTTCTAATTTTCTATTTTTAATATATTCCAAAAGGGGTGTTGTTCTTCTAGCTAAAACACAAAAAATTTGTGATATAGTGTTCAACTCCTAAAAGATGTACTCATTTCTTCACTTTAGTACTAACCCCTTTTTTCTAGCTTTTTCTGCAAGGGAGCTAAATAATTAATAAACCTATTTGGTTTCCATATTTTTGAAGGCTTTCCCATCATTCTGCTTTAGAAACACTTTGTTGCTTTTTGGATGTTAGAGTTAGAAGCAACAGAGAGATGCTGCAGGATAATTTAATGTTTAATTAAAAATCATATTTTTTCAGTTCAAGAGAATGACTTTTTTTTTCCCTTGCTTCTCCAATGGTTACTTCACCAAAAAGGAAAGAAACATGTTCAGAATCTATTCCTCCATGTTAATTTTGTACACAAAACCTAGCCAGACTGCTGTTCATACCTAGCCCACAGACTGTGATCTCCCAAAGCACTTTTCAATCCCAGATTTCAAAGTACATTATGGAGGAAACATTTTCATTCTCATGACACATTTCCATTTAAGTACCATTTAGCATTCACCTCTCCACAGGAAAATGGGCTGACTAAGAGGTAAGGGGTTTGTCCCAGGTTACATAACAAAGTACCAAAAAAGTTTTCACCAATTTTCACACAGCATAGACAAAATCTAGACACAATTTGTATCCCCAAAACATCTGGATGTTTTTATATTGACAGGGGGAATATCCTGAGGGCAGCTCATTTGTTACTGATAAAACCTTGTTAGGCAGTTAGGAATGGGAAGGCTTGATAGAATTCAGTGTTTATTTTTAGTAAGTATCAATGGTCAACAGCAACAACCAAAAAAGATTGTTGATTTGAGATCTCCTTCCCTCTCACCCTAGATTTCGCATGCTGCCCCTCTCCCTTCTCTCTCCTACATGCCCCAAATTTTTGACAAATCTTAGGTCCCCACTACCCTCCCTAGCAGCCCCATGGATCTGCAGGCTCTGCCTCTGTCCCCTGCTTCCATAAGCTGCCCTGTCTGGGCACTTTTACATGCTGGAAGTGACAACAAATTGTAACTGGAGGGGCTGGGGGGAGGATAAACTGCACTGGGAATCCAGAAACTGACCCACTCATGACTCAGGCTGTGGTGCAAGAGGTTTATCAGAAATCAGAACTTGAAGTTCAAGGGAGAGAGGCAGTGTGATGAGTACTATCAGAAGAGAAGGGCAAAAAAGAATGTTTAGCAATCTTGAATCCTACCCATCTTATCTATGGGTCTTACTACAAATAAAGTACCATCCCTGGGAGTGTTAAAGAAATGTGTAGACATGGCACTTTGGGACGTGGTTTAGTGGTCATGGTACTGTTGGATTGACAATTGGACTTGATGATCTTAGAGTTCTTTTCCAACCTTAATGATTCTATGATTCTAAAAATCTAAGAGGTTTTCCTTAAAATGTTTAAGAAATTTTTAAAAGAAAATAAATTAGAAATGAGGGCCTGTGTCAGAAATAACTTCTGTATTTTTTCTTGCTCTCTACAAAGAAGCCAGAAGAATGAGTTTATCTTCACCTTGTTACAGAGAACATCTGGTTTATGCCTCTCTGTCAGATTGAACCTAATGAGGAGACACATCTGACATGATGCAGAAACCATGCTGGTCTGTGGTAATGCTACCTGGAGAAATGCTGAGAATGGGAGGCCCAGTTCTGCCAACAAAGTCCTGGGCACGTTTTCACTGACTTCAGTAGGAGCAACACCTTTGAAACAGGACATACAACTAACCTTGCATAACTTTCCTATAAACATCCTATCCACTGAAGTAATCTTTGGTTTTATATTGATAGCAATGGCCACAGTTTTGAACAGCAGAAAAAAACAAAGCAACTAATTTGATTTCCTGTGATTTAACAGAAACAAAACATTAAAACCCCTCATGTGAAGCTGCCTTCAGCCAACAGTTACTCAGAAATCTGCAGCTCTCAAGATTAATAATTTTCATTAATAGAATATTTTAAAGTTATTAAATCTTTCTTGAAATTGTAAACTTAGAAAATTTTTACTGCTTTTACTCTGCTGCCAAATACTAGGGAAGATTTTGGGTAAATAAAAATTGTTGGGGAACCTCCCTGTCTAGAACTGCAACAAACAAGTTTTATTGGTAACAGAAGTATCTAAATGTCCATACTTCTAACACAGATTTTGGGTAAATAAAAATTGTTGGGAAACCTCCCTGTCTAGGACAGCAACAAAAAGTTTTATTGGTAACAGAAATATCTAAATGTCCATACTTCTAACTTTCCTTTTCTTCTAAATTGTTTAAGTTCCAGATCTCTCCAGTCAACTATCAAACAGCAGTAACAAGCAATAGGACAAGATGAAATGGCCTCAAGTTGTGCCAGGGGAGGTTCAGATTGGATATCAGGAAAAATCACCACAAGGGTTGTCAGGCATTGGCACAGGCTGCCTGGGGAAGTGCTGGAGTCACCATCCCTGGAGGGATTTAAAAGATGTGGTGCTGAGGGATGTGGTTTAGTGGTGGGCTTGGCAGTGCTGGGTTAATGCTTGGACTTAATGGTCTTAAAGGTCTTTTCCAACCTAAATGATCCTATGACTCTACCCAAAAGAGGTGGCTACTTTTACACTGTAATTAAATAATAGCAAAGGTTGATTATTTTTTCCTACACAATTCTCACACCTAAGGAAAGAGTAAAGTGTTCTGCATGTTGTCACTTGGAGATATGGCCCATCAATATTCCTAATGTCATCCTAAAAGCTGCATGCTGGCATTGCAGGTTTAAGTGTTGATCTTACTAGGGTTTACCCCCTGAGACTGTGAAAGTCATGCTGCATGCACACAGAAGACAAGGTGTTGCCCTACTTTCAAAGCCTCTGCAGAATCTTGACCACGAGAACAAAGAGAGATCATTTCATATTTCTCAATAAAAGCAGCTAATACCAGGGATCAATTGTTAAGTATTCTGCTATTTTCTCTTTTAGAAATAAAAATTCCATCTTTTAATACATCTCTAAGTATTCAGAAGTATTAAGGACCTATTTCTGAAGCCCCTGTGCATGCAAAACTTCCAATGAAGTCAAGTGATTCCATGCATAGAGACCAAGAAGACAGGTGGGGGGTTTCCTGCCACTACTTGGCTGGATGACAAAAATTGAACTCTGACAATCCCAATCTGTTAGACTGAACAGGTCAGTTCTTTCAGGTAATATCATAAAGCTATAAAAATAAGATACACAATATTCTCAATAATACGAAAACTTAAGAAAACAGACCAATGAGTTCCCTTGTTTTGGCCTCAATCTCTCCCAAAAGAATCTCAGGATTGGCACAGATTTTCTCTTCATCAGCACAATAACTGTCTAAAAATTTCCTATATTCTGGATCTGTGAAGAAAAAATTTTGAACTATGTTAATACTTTGCAGTGCATGACAGAAATGGAATCTGTTTTCCACTGTGACACCAAGAAAATACATTTACCATCTTCAATGCTCCCAGCCTTGGCATCCTTCTTCTTCAGTTTCTTTTTTGAAATTTTCTGGAATGGAGCAAATTCAACCACTGCAGGATACTCCAGACCTTAAAAGAGATCAAGGCTTAATTTTTTGACAGGGAGAAACATTCCCTATGTTCATGTAAGATTTTCAAAACTCTTCAAACTTGAAATGAAAGGTGAACGTTTCTATAATCCCATCCTAAACTTCCAATGAAAAACTACATGTAGCAGTAGTTCTGATTCAAAACAAAAAACAGTTACATATATAAACAGGAAATATTGCTTGGACATGGTAACAAAGACTCACAATGAAGATGATGACTGTTGCACAATGAAATTCTTGCACAATCATTTATGATTCCCTTTTAATTCTTCACAGATGTTGATTAGAAAAAAAAATTTGCATCAAGTCTCAGCCTGACAAGTGGAAAGTACAACTGAGAAATGAATCTGAAACAACTGAATTGCTTCTGTGAAGTTCTGTTGCCAAAAAGCTTAAAAGCTGAATAAATGCTGGGCAATATACAATAATAAAACAGAACCCAAACTGTAAAACTCAGCAAGTGGAATTGTGTGAAACTTTTTCCCTGTTTATGGTTTATGATGGACTATGGAACTTCTTGCCCGGGTTCACTGGTGGGGATTCTTAATTTTGAATTCTGCCTTAAATACTGGATTACTCTTTGGACTTGAGTCAGAACTGTGTGCAGCTTTCCAATTTCACCTGCTTTCCACCTGCAGCAGGTTCAGGATTACACCTTGATCAAGTCCACTGAAAACTTGACTTATATCTCCTAGAACATTTATTAACCTTACTGAACCTGGTAATCCTTGCTTTAATTTTAGCCTCATACATGCAATGCCACCACAAGCCTCACCAGAGGGCACCTTTGGTCAAAACTTGTGCTCTTTATTTGCACACTCAATCATGCCAAACTGGCCAGCTCTGCCCAAGTTCAGTTTTGCAATGCACAGGATGTTCTGGCATCAGTCCAGCATAGCAATGAAGAATTACTACTTAATTTAGGCCAAGTGAAGTTTTGTCAGAATCCTATTTTCTTTCTAGTTTTTAATCTAAACCACCCAGAATTTGACATCTGAGAATCACACCTCTTGGCAAATCCATCCAAATCTGACTAAAATTGGAAGCCTATAAAATACTGCAGGTAGGACATCATTGAAGAAGAATTGGTTAGTTTGATAGATGGCTTCTTTAGAGATAACTCTTCAGTAAGAATAAACAGGACTACTTTTCAACACTGAGTGTACAGAATAAACACTATCTATACAAGAAACCCACAAATCTGCCTGGGAAGGCTGAGGAGAGACTTTTTACAAGGTCTTGTAGTGACACGATGGGTAATGGCTTCAAACTGGAAGCAGGTAGATTTAGATTAGGAATCAGGAAGAAGTTCTTCACTATGAGGGTGGTGAGACACTGGAACAGGGAAATTGTGGGTGCTCCATCACTGGAGGTGTTCAAGACCAGGCTGGATGGGGCTTTGAGCAACCTGGTCTAGTGGGAGGTGTCCCTGCCCATGGCAGGGGGTTGGGAACTAGAGGATCTTTAAGATCCCTTCCAAACCAAACCATTCTATGATTCCCTGTCTGCTGTAACCCATGAAACTTTTTGACAGAAGGTGTGAGTGGATGAGGCAAGGAACTGCTAAAGGGAAGCATCACTTCTCTGCTCTGGCAGCTACCGTAGGAGACCTGGGTTTATCCACACCTACAGTATGGAGTTTTTCCTTTACTGCTGGGCAAACTTTTGCAGAGTGAACAGTTTAAAGCTGGCAACCAATTTTCTCACTGTTGTTCTTGGAACTCAACTCAAGACATCTGCAAACGTTCCAACGAGTCAAGCTGTACATATCTCAAAGTGGGCAACCAAAATGAAGTCAAGTTTTTGTCCAGTGTTTTCAAACTGGGAATAAATAGCACCATTTTATCACCCAGAAACACACTGAAGATGTTATGATTCATGCTTGCAATGTGTTCAGTTACTGTTGTGATGAATTGTGAAGCTTGCAGAAGACAATTATCTCAATAGGATCTTAACAGTGCATTGCTGAAGGTATGGGAATGCAGATAAAGCATGTGCACCACATAGATGAGCAAGACTGCATGGATAAACACATTTTGCTCTGCTTTATCTTTTAAGTGCTAGATTTTAATATATTTTTATGTCAACAACTGTATATTGAGAAAAAAATGGCACAACTAGCAAAAAGGAAGCAAGGTTCTAAAATGGTCTAGGTACATATACACACTTAATATCTTACAAACAGTCCAACCTTTATTATCAATGAAGACATAGCCATCAAAGCGATCTCTAAAAAGAAGGATGTCCTCAGGATTTCTAAAGTTAATGTATGCTCTTGAGTAGAGATGAGGATAAAGGCTGCAACAAGAAACAATTTTATTTTCTGTTATTTGCTATTCTGCTCAGGACTAGGAAAAAAATAAAACTAGAAGGCTCACACTGCAATTCTCATCTCTTTTGAGGAACTGCTACCTTAAACATGGACATCAAAGTCTTTACATATACATATCTAATTATATATATGGCAAAAAGCAACTGAAGAACTGACTTTCTGGATGCAGCTGTGAAATTTACTCTGAACTGAGTATAGTTTGTCTCCTAAATTGCAGACCATACGCTTCCATTGTGCAGGAGCAAAGCTTTACATCTAATATGTCATGATTTAAGAGATCAGGATAGTAGCAGTGCCTTGGGGGAACTTCTTGGGCATGCTAACAAAGCCTTCTGCTACTGAAACAGGACAAGGTAAGTAAAAGCTCCCAGTGAAAGTGCAGTTGCCAAGCTGTCACTGTATTTAAACAGATTTCCCCTTTCATGAAAGAGGAAATAACCTAATAATGGGCAAGATAATCCACTGAATTATATAGAAATAAACTCCATCTGACACACGTGTATCAATATATATGCAATGCCTAGGTGTGAAGAACAATCACTGTGAAAACCCAAAGCATTTCCAGCAAAAGAAAGAACAGGTACTTACCTAAAATAATTGTGATTCTTCAAGAATTTATTGGCATAGATGCCACTCTGAGGGTAAATGTGTAATGTGCCTGATAAAAACCACAGGGGGGTGGCACACCACTAACCACAATGAAATGCAGGTTACTTGATGAATTGCCACCCATCAAGCTGCAACTGTATTTCAATTCCAGTTATTTCAACACTGGATTTCACCACGAGTGAGAAAGAGCAAAAATACAGGTTGGATCACAGCATCCACACACGTGGCAGCTCAAAGCAACACCTGGTACAAAACAAAAGATTTTTTTCTCTTTCAAATGTATATCCATATGGCTTCCACTTTGGGTGTTAGAAGGTGACCACGAAGAGCAGTGCTGGCAATAACTTACTGATGATTTTGTAAACCTGCCGAATTTGTGTTTGATATTGTAGCCAGGTAAAAAAAACCTGGAGGGCTTCTTCCCTTTAGATGTTTTGCAAACACCAGCTGCAGAGTGTTTCTGCAGTATGCAGAGGATAAACCTTCCAGTTCTAAGGAAGAGATATTTCATCACATATGCTCACTAGATTTTGCTATTCTAGGGTGGGAAGAGCAGTGAATGAAGTGTAAGCAAAGCAAAGGAAACAAGCCAGCTTCCTTCTCATCAGTTTCAAAGCACAAAGAACCCAAAAGATTAAATGCAACACTTTTCATAATTACATGCAGTTTAAAAAAATACCTTTAAAAAAGGCATACAAGCCTCTCTATAGGAAATTTAATTGTGGCAATCTGTAGCTGTGCTGGAAGAGATGCCTCTGTGCAGCCTAATGGCCAGAGCAGTGAAGTGGCTCCCATGCAAAAGTAATATATCTTCTCCACCAAGTCAACAGGACCATTCTTATTTCATGTTCTTTGATGTTTAAATTAAATGAGGCCTGATATTAGGGATTTATACAGTTATACACTTAAAGTGCTGAAGATTCACAAGAGTAAACCTGGAGGGAACATTATTTTTCAGACCAGTTATTATTATTATTATTGGAGATTTGAGAAACTTCAGTTTCAGTCCCAAGTCTAAATAACTATTTCAGTATTTTTTATCCATCTCCAGTTTTTGTAAAATACTAGAACTTTCTGTAAATCAAAGACTGGGACTCAGACAAGCATCCCAACCACATTACTGTGGCACTTCTCTGTCTCAGTGCACAGCAAACAGCTTCATGATACAACTGCTGGGTTTTTTCCCTGCAGTCCTAGAAGGTTATGATTGGGCACATAAATTATTGTGAAACGGGACTGGAAATACAAAGACTTATTCCTTCCTTGTTTCCTTTAGTTTGTACATCAACACCACCTATTTCATCTGCTTGGGCAACACAATCTTTTCCTAGTTCACAAGATAACATTTTTTTAACATTTTCAGCTTAGGCTCACCAGAGTTTCTTTTGAAATGGCAATTAAGCATTTATTAGTAAAAAACTCCTGAGTCTGAAATGTATAAATGAGACTCTGGAAAACAGATTTAGAATTTACCTTGCAAATGAGGGTTCCAATGTTGTTGCTATACATTATTAACACTTCAAGAACTTCATTCACATCAGCAGAAACATATAGAAATATAAAAGCATGCTTGTGCACAATAAAATAGGATCATCTGTCCACTATCACTGCCATGTACTGGGGTGGAAGGTTGTAGAAACACTGCTACAACACTTAGCAAGCACAGGTTCCTCCTCTCATGGAGCCACTTCTGCAAATGAAGAGTTGCTTCCCACAGGCACACAAGTTAGCTGTCAGTGCTTAGAGTATAAAAGCCTGACCACTGACCACGTCAGGCCCTTGTCCTGGGCACCAAAGTGTGCAGTGTGCCTAAAAAAAATACAGGGTCTTAAGTTTTTGATTTGAAATTCAGTTTTGAGGTTGTATGGCTAGTTTTACAGGCAGACACCTGGTTCTGTTTTGCCAGATGTTTGCTGTCTATAATGCTGCTTTCCATCTGGAGCATGTTTTGGAGAGATCCACTGCACATGATGCTGGCACCTCTGGGATGTCACTTAGAGGAATCTCTGTGGATAACCCTGATGAGTCTGACTGTACACATTTCCTCAGTACAACACACTCTTTGTTTTTTTTCTGAGCATTCAAGGGTATTTGAACTTTTACATTATGTGTATTTCTATAATACTTAAGTCTATCATCTCTTTAAGCCCTTAATTTTATAGTAATTTTAGTAAGAATCACATTCTAATAGTTTACTTCTATAAAGTATAACACAATTGTGTGCAAAGATTGCTATACAGGAAAGCAATAAATAAAATATAAAATAAAAATTCAAATTTAAAATTTAAAATTTCAGATCCTGCAAGGTCACAGCTCAGTCACTCGACTCAACTTTTAGAAGACTCAGAAACATTTACATGCAGACAAGAAAGAGTACCTGGAAGAAACAGTTAAACTATGGAGCCTGAGAACAAGAGAGACCTTTGGGGAGGCAGATTATTAACAGCTACAGCCAGTGTGTCTATCCAACAAACCACCCTAAAGGCTACAGAATCAGTCACAAAAACAGTGTTTTGTTTGTATTTTGACATCAATGTACAAGAGAATAAATGTAATGCAATGAATCAGATGAATCTGAAAAAATGAATGAAACACAACACGAGTCACTTTCTGAAATGATTTTACTTAAGTGGATGTAACTGAAAAAGTGCAATACATCAATGACATTTCTTAAATGAAATTTTAGGAAGTTTTATAGCTTGCCTGTAAGACAACATTGTAAACTTAGAGATAACCTCTAGACTGAAAAAAAAAAACCAAACCAGAAACTGGAGCTGATATGTATGTAACTTGGTTTGTCCTCTATGAGATGACCTTGGAAATAAAAATGTAGAAGCAGCTATAGTTAGACCTCTCTAGTCCCCTCTCTGACAGCAGCTAGTAGAGGATGCTTAGTGAAAGTTTATTAAAAAGGGAAAACTATACACTGACACCTCCCCTAGTATGGAACTTCAGCTACTTGCAGCCCAGAGACTTTGTAGTGCAGAACTTAGATCCTTGCATTTAAAAAGTTTTCACAGATAAATATTTGTCTAAAGTCTGTGTCTAACTGCTCCTGAACCATTTTTCAACCTTCACCATTTCTGGCAACAATTTCTGATGAGGAGTTCAATGGTTTAACCATTTTGTTGGGGGGAAAAAAACAAACAAAGAGAAGTCCATACTCCACAGTTGAAGAAAGCTGAATGAGCTCTTGGAAACCTGTTATCTAGAGTTATACATGATGGGTTTAAACTGAGATGTTACAGCTCTTAAGGCAAATTTATTTGCTTCTGCATCAAAACATTTGTATGCCTCTTTCTCTTCCCAACAAACAGATCCTCTTCACTGGGTCTCTGCTCCAAATCATCCTCTTGTTAGGTAACGTGAAATTTGCTTTTAATCTTCCCATGGTTTTATTATCACAGAATTCTCCTGGCTCAGTTGCCAAAAGCAAACACTACAGGATGGAGCAAAAGCTAACCAGAGGAAGGCAGAGGGCACTGCAGAGAGAACCTGTCACCTTGTCCTGTAGCTCTTCCTGGGGCACGAAGACATGGATCCAACAGAGAGTTTTCTGAGATTCCATGGACTGTCCATATTATGACAGATAATATGGACATCACAACACTTTAGACTCAGAAAAAGTTCTCCACTGGACAAGAATTTGCTTTTAATCTTCCCATGGTTTTATTATCACAGAATTCTCCTGGCTCGGCTGCCAAAAGCAAACATGAAAGGATGCAGCTAAAGCTAACCAGAGGAAGGCAGAGGGCACTGCAGAGAGAACCTGTCACCTTGTCCTGTAGCTCTTCCTGGGGCACGAAGACATGGATCCAACAGAGAGTTTTCTGAGATTCCATGGACTGTCCATATTATGACAGATTACTGCAACACAACACTTTAGACTCAGAAAAACTTTCTCTGCTGGACAAGAGGAGACCAAGACTCACTGTATTAGTCTTGTCACTATCTTGGAATTTCTGGAAGTTTACTGTATATTCTAGAGTGTATGAGACTGTAAAGAGCTAAACTATAAACAGATGGACATGGCTGTGAAACATTTTTCTCCCAGATCATTATTTTATTACAGACCTCGTACACAGAACCCAAGGAAACTGACAATCCAAGTAACACATATCAGAGATATCATTGTTTAAAAAAAAAATTAAACTGTGCATTCTTCACTTGCTGCATCTTGAAGCCTAGTAGCAAAACACTGTAAGAAATACAGCTTTATTTCTACACACTTGCTATTTTTAATCACCAAGATCTGCTCTTCAAGGCAAAAGAATTTTTCAAGTTCTCAGCATGTCCTCATCCCTCTACCAGAATGAGCTCCTGTGTCATATGTGCATCTAACAGATTTTTTTATATATCCACACATGTTCTGCTCCTAGCTGTATTAAAGTACACAATGAGTAACAGAGCATGAGCAAAAAACCACAGTAGTAACCTGACGTGGATATAAGTGAATGAGTGGACAACAAGATTACTGAGTACTCCACATTTCATCACACACAAGTAGAGAGGAAAACTGAAATTTTTATGTACAACTCTGCCAGTGCCTTCTCTTCTCTGTGATGGCTGACTCCCTAAATTCTTAGGTCAACAATTGCTCTAAAAAAGAAAAATTGTGTGTCTAAGTTCCCTGGCATTTGTGCCACTAAACACAAAGAAGACACAGACACCCTCCTTCAGAGAATTTTTTGTTTATCTTTGATATTTTCCCCTTATCAAAAGAGGGGACAGAAGCCTTAAAGAGGCCCACTTGGAAATATGGATGATGAGATTCAGAAGAAAAATGTAACTAACTATAAAGACTTTCAGTCAGACTAAACTCTCCTCTTTCCTAACTTCACATCCTTTATGGTTCTACCAAAAAAGCTGAAGTACCTACTATTCAGTCACTGGACTTTTCGTAACTGTCTGGGCCAGACAGCTGCCATAAAGTTTTGCTAAACAGACACTGGTTCTGTTCCAACTGTGGAACTGATTCTGAGAGACCCAATACAGTCAGAGTTAACCACCTGATACTACCACTTCTTGCCACCACTGTATTATTCTTTCAAATAAAATCAGCCCAGGAACCAGCCCATTCCAAGTGTAATTTGCCACAAACAATTCCCTGGGAAGGCAAGGCCACCTGCTCTGAGTGGTTCACCACTAGCTTCAAAGGTTGGTCAGCAACCACCATCCAGGATCTCTGTGTAGTTAATGGGCAGTCTGGTGCCTGTGGAGGATGATGCACCACAAACTAAGACAGACCAAGACCAGTAGGATGGCTCCTACACTTCAGTTTTTCAGAGCACGTGCAGATGTACCATACAGAGTGTTTTGGCTTCTGGATGTTCTGGAAATTGTTTTGCTCAAAAGGGCTTTTACCACTGTGATACTGAGCAAATTATATAAATATACTAGTAATTCCAATGTATTTTAAATCAGCCACTATTCCTTCCAGTTTTGAATGAGACAAAAATTGACTAAAGCTAGATTATTTGAAAAGTTGTATGAAATAACTATAAAAACACACAAGCAAACAAAGAAACCAAACTGAAATGGAACTCATGAAAAAACTTCTGTGGTATTTGCCCTAGGCTGAGTCTTTCTCACAGCAGATCAACAGTCTTTGCATTTTACCAGTCAAAGTTAAAAGAAATATCAGGGCTTCAAAAATACGTGATTTGCCATGTCCAAATAACTTCATCAGGTTTTAAGGAGCTGCAAACCTGCACAAACAGCTCATCCTCACCTGGGATCAGCAGTGCAAAACTCAAAATAATCATGGGCAGGTAGAGGATGTAGCTGTTCCTCCAGTTGCTCCTTAGTCAGACAAGGAGGAAGGCGTCGAATAACTACCTGCATATATAAAAGAAAATGGAGATTGATCTTTGATCTAAATCCTGTGGAAAGAGACTAAACAAAACCTATTACTCCAGTTCAGAAGCTCTTCCTCAAACTGGGAACTTCATTTGGAGCACTAGCCTCCTAGTGATTTACATTCTTGGACTTGCTGTCAGCTGGAAAAATTTCCCTATCTCAGTTTCTGCTAAGGTTGTAAAATTGTAGGGTAACTGAAATATTCTGATGAAGAGCTTGAGAACCACTGCAATTTAGCCCAGAACAGAAGATACTAACAACTGACCACCAAAATAGGTATTGACTACACAAAATTTTTACAATATATATTAAAAAAATATATTTAACTTAAACCAGCTTTTAAGTCTTTCATTACAACACCATTTTAGTGTGTTAGGTTTACGTGTCCAGGTGCTGGCCGTGGGGGCTGCAGGGGCAGCCTCTGTGAGGAGAGGCTGGGGCAGCTCCAACTGCCCCACTGCTAGGAACAGCTCAGCCCCTCAGCTACAGGGCTGGCACCTCTGGGAACCTGTGCTTAAGGACAGGAAAGGCTGCACAAAAAAGTGCCAGACAGAAGAGTGAGGGGAAAGAAGCATGAGAACGAGCCCTGAGCACACCAAAGTGAGACAAGAAGGAGGGTACTGCATGCTGTAGCATGTGGAGGTGCCTTGAAGTGAGCTGCAGCTCATGGAGAGGAGCCCATGCTGGAGCAGGTTTATGCTGAAGGACCACAACCCACGGAGAAGACAAGACCCCTGCTGCAGCAGCTCATGAACTGCAGCACGTGGGAGGGACTGTATCCCATCCCAGGGACCCCACACTGGAGCAGGGAAGAGTGTGAGGAGGAACAAGCAGCAGAGATTGGCTTTCATATTCTGTCTACAACCCCCATTCCCCATCTTCCTGCATTGCCTGGGGCAGGGGAGGTAGAGCCTGGCAAGGAAAAGGTGAGGGCAGTAAAGTTTTTTAGTTTTAATCTTTGTTTCTCATCATTCAACTCTTTTTTTTTTCTCCCCATTATGAATAAAGTAAATTAATTTTCTCCAAGTTGTGTCTCTTTTGGCTATGATGGCACTGTCAAAGTGATCTCCCTGACTTTATTTCAGCCCATGAGTTTTTTCATCTTATTTTCTCCCCCTGTCCTACTGAGGAAGGAGTGAGAGAGTGTATGGCTGGGGGTCTGGCAGCCACCCAAACTCAACATGCTACACCCAGGTAAACTGGCCAATTATCAAGGTCAGGGAACCATACCAAAACCTTTGGATAGAACAATGCCACCACACAAAACAGTAAGATGCCATCAAGCTTCAGACAATCTATTTCCATTTCCTGCCCTATGACAATTAACTTGGCCTAACTTTAAGTTATAGTGGTTTTTCAGTGCTTCAGCTTTAGAAAATGGGGATAAATTAAATCTCACAGTATGCTATATAAAGTACTCTTTGAAAAGTGCTTGAATAAAGCCAGGGAGAGAGAGAAGCTCTCTTGTCCTTGGAGGAGCTGCTTGGCCACAGCACCAGCCGATCTTGATTTCGGAAGAATTTCCGGTGAAAAGCCACGCCAATTTGCAGCAGCTCTCAAGCTACCATAAAGACCCTCATTCTGCGGAGGAAGAAACACCCGTTTAAACACTCCTGAGATTAGACTCAGCCTGTCGAACACGCCTACCTGGGCCACGGTCCTCAGCCCTTCTGAGCCACAGACATGTCCCACCGGAGGGACGTCCCACCGGAGGGATTTCCCACCGAAGGGATGTCGCCCCTCACCGCAGTCCC